TTCTAGCGTGCTCCCTAGACAAAAGACGTGCGACCGTACAGTAGAAACGGTCGCACGTCTTCGTTCACACTGCTCGATTCTCGCACGACCGCGGGATTTACCGCGATTCCCGTACGAGAATCGAGCAGTGTATGGGCGCCTTAACATTTAACAAAAATTTACCGTATATACTCGAGTATAAGCCGTCCCGAGTATAAGCCGAGGATAGACGACCAAACGCTTTGGAAGACAGTGTGTCTAATCTACTCCAGTTATTTAGTGACTAACTACATTGACCATTCCTGCCATTTGGTACGTCATAATTAATCTGGTCATTATGTTTATTGTACCCTGATACCTTTTTTTTTTCTTCACACTGTGCGTATGCACTTTTGATCGCTTCAAGTACGTTTTAACTTGATTGCACTTTATAAACAAAACAAAAAATGAATAGGTGTTGGTAATGGACTGCTAGTGACATTGTTATCTTTTCTCATCATAGCACTTTGCACTGCTCCTGAAGTATATAATACATGTGGTGATTCCAGATATTCCAGGATGGGTGGCAGAGGAGATGGCAAAGCTTGAGTACCAGAGGAGGGAAGCATTTAAGGTACGTATTTTATGTTCAGATACTTCTACAATATGTAGAGCTAGGTTTAATATTGCAAATCGTTTGAGTAAAAGTATAGATTTGACTAGGGATGTTGTTTGCTCAAATCTAACAAAGAGTTTACTCTCCTAATTTTAGAATGATGTATGGGAAATAAAATTTTCTAAAGCCACATGTAAATCTTGTCTATCCCTTCACTGTATTCTGCTGATGTTACCCTGTTTAGGATGACCAATACAAATGAATATTCATGCATGCCATTTCATACCAGTGATGCTGGTAAGGTGATATGTAGATGGGCTTTGGCAGTGGACTATACAATGGAAATGAGATAGCTGATAAAAGAGCCCATGACTTTTACCCAATGTTGACATTGCAGAACAGTTGTCTAGTCTGCAAACATTCACACACTAACCAATACAATTTTAATAACTATAATGTGTAACCATCTAGATGCATTCAATTCTACCCTTAAGGGACTGAGTCAACACATGTAGTTTCAACATTTAAAGCTAACCTACAGATAAGCCACGGTGTAACTTTTTTTGTTTACCCTTGTTATCCATTCGTAACAGAAACACGAGCGCCAGGCTCAACATCGTTACCAACAGCAACAACGCAGAAAGCGTGAGGAGGAAGAGAGACAGCGCCATGCTGATTACCATGCACGAAAGGAGCGAGAGTCGAGGGGTGGGGAGGAAGGAAGATCTGGGCAGGACTCTCAAACACATGACAAAAACTCAAGTAAAAGTAAGCCATGTGGTCCCCGAGGGGGCAGTTCTCATGACAAACCGAAAAGGCCTAGCTCCCTGCTGGCCAGCAATAATGTGCTGAAACTCAAGCAAATTATACCCCTGCAGAGCAAATTCTTGTCAGGGACCAATGCCAAATCTCCACAATCTCCTCCAGGGGGAGATACCAAAATTCCCAGCTTCTTGAGCTTCAAGTTCTTGAAATCCCCTGAAACACGGAGAGAAGCGCAACCAGAGAGAGCCCACTCTCCAACCAAGCCTTTCCATCCTGGCAAGTTGTTTAACTTTGGCAAAGGGGAAGGGCAAGGGCAAATGGGTGGCAATGGTTTAGCAGCACCTATATCAATACAACCTCGAGGGGCAACAGCTCCGACTGCCTCTACAGATGGGACAGTTCCTGGAAAGTCTCAGCTTAATGGAGTTTCAGAAGACATGCCTGTGGATGAGACAGAAGAAAGCCAGGGAAAGGCACATAAACAGTGAACCACTTTTGTCCTACAGCTGCCTCCATTTCTCTTTTAGATAAGGGCAAGACAGTGCTGTAAGAGGTGGGTTTTTGTCAGGGGAAATACTTTCTCTGAACCTCTCGGAATCCAGGGCAAGGAGGATTCCCCAGATGATGAAATGCCACCTCGCTTAGCTACACTGGTGCAATCTGCTCTGTACAATGGTGCCACCTTGACACAAGAAGGAGTTGCGTTGTATCATGATGCTTGGTATCATTATACAGTTCGAGCCTTACTGGATCATGAACAATCTGAGCTGTGTATTGTTACTGGGTATCTATATACATCTTAAGCTTTTTGATAAGTGGAATTTGTTTTTGCCAAACACTGCGCTGTACCATGGTAATGGCAATGAGTATTATGCACATGTTGGGTCTTCTCATCATAATGAAGTTGTGGTGTACACAGTAACAGAATATATCCAATACATATCTGAGCCCTCAGTGAGCTTGCCAAGGTGTAAACCGATGGTGAGTGTTTCTGTGCAGAACACTTCCACTCTGTCCTCCTGGCCAGATAAATTGCAATATACTATAGGGCATAAAATCTTTTTCAGCATTGGCTAAGGAATGGAGATGCATTGGGGGTATTGTAAATGGCATTCTCTCGGGCATTGTCTTTTCATAAGTCAGTCTTGCTAAGGAGGAGTTAAAGGTATCACTACAACAGTTTACCATGGAGAAGTCATCCTGTGTCTCTGGTAATGTCTCCACTTCAGACCTTTGCTTTCAAACAGTCCATCAATATAATACCGTTCGCCGTAAAGTCCTTCTCAAATGCAGATTTACAGTTGTGTAATGATGGCCATAGTGCTGGGGGAAGAGCGTTGCTCAAAGATTCCTGCAGTTCTTACCTGATGCAGTCCTGCTTGAATAGATGGATTTAAGCAGTTGGCTTCTGTAAACATATGTTGGTGACGTTTACAGAGAAGCTAGCAAAGCCATGCAGGCACCTTTTGACTGTTTGTCTACACACTGCCTGTATGGCCCAATAAAACTCAGCCAGATCCCTTCTTTCATTAAGATGTGCTAGGTTTATGACTACTAGAATCTGGTTGTTATGACCTCGATTCACATATTCCTACATTACCCCCTGTATTATGTATGTGGTTTGTTTTTTAATATAGTTTTTCATAAGACCATGCCAAAAAAATCTGTAGACAAACAGCCTCACCAGTTGCTGCTATATACAAAGCACTTTCCTGGCATATAATTGTGTGGTTTTATACATACACACAGAGGTAGTGCAAAGTGCAACCAGTATGTGTATAGGACTGTAACTGATAGCAAGCAATCAACTTTAATTTTTTACCTCATCTCACTACAGTAAACCTGATATCTGATTTGTTGGTATGGTTGTCTGCACTGTCTAAATAAATAAGCCTGAAAGAGCTTTACATGGAAATATAATGCATCACACATTGATCTGAAGGCTTAAACAACCAGTTATTTTATGCTATAAGCTGATATCAGATGATTATGCGTTCCAGCACGTTTGCTCCTTTGTCCCCTTCTCATCCAGTAATAATAGCTATACATAAGGTTGGCCTCACAACAGACAGAAATCTCCCTCAACTCCACATGGTATTATCTACCCATTTATGCACAGCTGGACTTTGGAGTGTGCACATCCCCAAGCACTGTATCATTGCTGTAACCAAGACCAGTAAAACATTTCTTGGCTAGTGACCACTGTCATTAGACCTGAAAAATGCTTGTCCCTTGTTATCAGGGAGCACACCCACTACTGCATTGTGTTTAGCACCTTGTAACAGGCTAAAACAAATCTAAAGCCTTTTGGACAGCATAGCTCTTGATGGAATGGCAAACATATCTCCTGTCTTGATGCATCCTTAAAGCCCATAAACCTGTGAAATCTAGCTCCCGTAGTTTGTAATGCAAGTAAAAGATAATGCTAATGTGAAACGCTCAAGTTGCATATGTAAAGATTAGCTATTCCATTTTCACTCTAGCAGTGGTGATTTGATTGGGGAAACTGATGCACTCTCCTTTTATACAAATAGTACCCCAAAGACCCACCACCAAATTATTACTGATTTAGATAGCTATCGGTACCCAATAAATAGATGAGGGCCATAGAAGTGAGTGTTGTTTACACATTGCACCCATTTTTACCATTTCACCAAACAGCTTAAGGGCAACTGAGTAAGCGTAGAGACTGAAGGAGAAAGCAGCTTCATACTACACGTATTGAGTCCGCTTTGCACTGTACTCTAAGTGCTAAAGTTCTTTTTATGTTTTTTTCAGCCTCCAACCCGTCTACGGAATCACATCTGACATGCTGTATTTAAAGTGGAACTCCAGCCCAAACTTGTTAGTTTTGGAGAGACTGGAGAAAGGTCAGATTCTCCGTTGGGTATTTATTGTTTTCTGTGTCCACGCGGTGGAGATTTCTCCTCACTCCTAGTGTCCACCAGGGTATTGCTATGAGCTGAACTTTCTGTTACCCTACTCTATAAATCTCTGGGGTGTATGCATTTGCAAGGGTCACCATCCCTTATTACTAAGAAAATACTGAACATTTTATATGGCAGGAGAATAGATTAACACCTAATGATTAAAGGACTAAAGGAGGTTATATGGTGTGCAGCATTTGTTTACTTTAGGTTAGAATTTTCAGTGAAGTAATATTCAGCTTTTCATATGCAAATATAATATAAATTAAACTGAAACATACAAGTCTTGTACAGGGTTGCTATTTAATTTCAACACACAGTATACAGTATGTTATCAGCATGAAGCAATGTAAATGTGTAGGAGTGGATTGATACAACTGAAACATACAAAGGGGAATGTAGGGCGGCACTTTGTTTTTTATAAAATGACAGACAAAGGGACATTTTAAGGAGGGGAAATTGTCCCAAGCTGAACATATATCACAGTAGTGTTTTTCTTTGAAAAACACTATGTGTAAAACTTGTCCCACCTCAACCTATGAGAAGCAAGAGTCTGTTTAGAATACTCTAGACCAGTGATGGCGAACCTTGGCACTCCAGCTGTTTTGGAACTACAAGTCCCATGAGGCATTGCAAGGCTCTGACAGCCACAGACATAACTCCCAAAGGCAGATGCATCTTGGGATTTGTAGTTTTGGCACAGCTGGAGTGCCAAGGTTCGCCACCACTGCTCTAGACATATCAGAGACTTTATGCAGCTAGCTGTAGGAAAAAGCAAGATTAAAGCAGAACTCCCGATAATTTTTTATTAACTCTTGCAGTGGGGCTACCCCTGCACTGCAAGGGTTAACTGCTTGGAAAATACCAAAGTTATACTCACCCGATCTTTGGAGCCAGCCGGCTGTGACAGCGCTCCCTCCAGCCCGTCTTCTCCTCTGATGCAGCGATGGTATATCCCTCGGTGTCCTCACATCTTATACACTGTCTATAGAATGTGATGACTCAGGGACGTTAAACCTCTGCAGCGGAGGGGAAGAGAGGCTCCAGGGACCGGTTGCTTTTTTATTTGCAGCCCTAGACCAAACAAGCACTTAATCTTTGCAGTGCACGGGTAGCCCCACTGCAAGGGTTAATAGAAAAATATCCCCGGAGTTCTCATTTAAGTCTAGCCACACCTACAGCTGATGCCCTAGTTCTAATTGGCTGCAGTCACTGTTTGTTGAGCTGGGAATTGCTGACATGGGTCAGTTTTAGCCGATTCAGCAGGAATGGTCCGTAAGTCAACCTATGTATGGCTAGTGTAAGAACATTGTGATGTGAGGAAAAGACTACTTGATACTGTGTTAAGAATTGTTTATACAAGAAAATCCTTCTCTAGTCTTAGTTGTTTTGTAAGTCAGTTGAATCATTAGAAGACAGACATCATTATAAAAGGGGCAGGCATGTGAGAATGTTGGGTGTCCTTTTTTTTCTTTTTGTTTAAACCCAACTGAGTCTTCTTTTAGTAATATTCAAAGAAAAATATTTACTATACTGTTTCTATTCCTTACCAAGGTATTATAAGGACCAGTGTCGATGGGCTTTGGTCTTGGTCAGTCGACTGCCCTCTGGCCTTCATTAGACCTGCTTCAAGAGGGAGTTGCATTCCTATAGGTTTTTATGGGAATACAAAAGCCCATTGAGACAGGCTCTTAAGCTCCTGCACTTTCTGCATTTCAGTGGAAGTTATTTGTTACGTACTATCCATGAGGTTACTTTTAGATCTACACCTCTGTGCAGCTACTCACGGTTATTTACACAGTATTAAGCTATTGACAGCAGTCACAAGATGGGAAAGATATCTATACTACTGTCTAAGAAATGGATGGATGAGTAGATAATGACTGCAACAGCAAAAAATACAAAATTGGAGAAGTGCCTGTTAAGTACATTGTCCTTGATGTGAAAAAGTACATAATGGGTCCACTTGTGTATGTCTTGGTGCCATATAGCAGTGCAGTACAACTGTGCGTGTAGGGGAACGTCACCTAAGTTAAGTTGTCTCAGCCTTGTGTATGAAAGTGCTGGACCTTGTGACATGGACTTTTACTATAAAGACCAGCTTCTGTTACAGACACATGGATGACATGTCTAAACGCAGTGGAGACCTTCTCACAGAGACATTTAATGAATTTACTCGTGCCTAGTCTGCAATAAACACCCCTTCCTGTCAAGCCCCACCCCCGCCATAGGAGTGTTGCGGTTGGAGTACACAACTGCAACACCACTTCATCCATAATTAGATTGGATATCGACTATAATTCCTCTCTGCAGGTAGGAGGAACAACGGGTTATCCTTAACTTGGACAACTCCTAAAATGCTAAGATGCATTTATAATGTGAATTATGACCTCAGCGCAATATTCGAATACATGCCACATACTAAAAGCAAATCTATACTGAAAGGGATGAGTGTAAAATATCTTGGAGACATTGTATGCAGTGATGATGCAAAAGTCTTATTAGTAGTAGATGGATTCCCTTATATCCCCATGTGTTTTTAGGTATTGTGGCCGTTTTCTGGGCCCCTTTTGGAATACCCTGACTAGACTCAGAGACTATGCAGCAAAATTGCCCCCTTCCCTACCAGGAGACAACTAGCTGAGAGAGCTAATACATCGCTAAAAGCTGATCACAAAACCGAGGGAAGTTCTATCGTGTGCACTGTGGAAATGGTTGTCAAGGAATGACTTCCCTCTACAGACGTGCAGAAGAGAGTTCTACAAGAGTACAAGTAACGTGTTGAGAAGACCCATTAAGACTAAATGTGAACTTATTAATATAAAAGAGCTTGTTAATACATTTAAAATACATCTCTATATTTTGCACATCAGATTTATTATGTAGATTAGTGGAGGTCATTGCAGAGAACCAAGCTGACATTACAGCTAGAAGCTTTCTTCAAGGCAGCTAACAAGATAGCATTTGAAATATGGACAGTCATGCAGTGACTAACTGAAGTACCTCAAGTACCACATGCAAATGCAGAAACAGCTAGAGAAATAAACTCATACTTGACCTCAGCTGCCCTCCAATGAGAGGTACTGCAAAATGGATGTTGTCTATGAGTAATTTTTCTTTGTCATTTGAATTCTGGAACCATAAAAAACATCTGTGAAGGTTCTCACTTATCCAGATCATGGTATAGATAGTAGTAGTTAGTCACATTCATCTAGCTTCCTTCTAATCAGTGTGAGGAACATTCTAACCCTTTTGAATTCACTT